GCCACCTTAGGTGTATGTGGCTGGCGCCTTAGCCACTTGAGCCACAGGCGCCAAGCCTGCTTTTTTTTTTGAGAAGCCGTTGCCCTGGGTAGAGTGCAGTGGCATCACAGCTCACAGCAACCTCAAACTCTTGGGCAAGAGCTGGGACTAAGTAGCCTCCCAAGTAGCTGGGACTATAGGCGCCTGCCATAACACCTGGCTATTTTTTTTGTTGCAGTTGTCATTGTTGTTTTAGCTGTCCCAGGGCGGGTTTGAACCCACCAGCCTTGGTGTATGTGGCTGGCTCCCTACTCACTTAGCTATGGGTGCCACCCTTGTTTTTGCTTTTTAATTGAGAATCAGAAGATTGTACAAGTGTCTCTATTTAATTTTTATGTTAACCATTATACTTTTCATTTTTTTAAATCCTATTTTTTTCATATCCACTATGTTATTTTCACGGCTTCTTAGTAAAGTTTGTCTTTGTTTAATTTTGTTTACATATCACAAGTAGAGTTGTTTTTATAATGTCAGATGATTCCAATAATAGACTTTTATGCGGGGGTGGTTGGTATTGCTATTTCTGTTGTTTCCTTTTATGTTAGTTGCTTTTGATTGTGAGTTACTCATTATAGTTTCTTTAAAAAAACATTTGTGGGACTTCGTTGAGTCTTGTAATAAAGGCACATATTTTCTGGAAAGCATTTGACTTGGCCTTAGATCACCTTACAATATAATCTGATATTTGGCAACACCAGGCTTGTGAAAAAGTCAGTTTGTGCTTATTCTTTTCAGAAACAATTTCCAACTCTCCAGCTCCACTCAGTTGGGCATCTTTCCTTGTAGATACCAGAGTGGTAAGAGAGGGGGCAGGTTTATTTATGAGTTACCTTTATCTTGAAGGCATCATTTCTTGAGATCCTAGCTTTTTTTTTTTTGAAACAGAGTCTCACTATGTTGCCCTGGTAGAGAGCCGTGGCGTCACAGCTCACAACAACCTCAAACTCTTGGGCTTAAGAGATTCTCTTGCCTCAGCCTCCCAAGTAGCTGGGACTACAGGCACCTGCCACAGTGCCCGGCTATTTTTTTGTTGCAGTTTAGCTGTAGTCCCAGCTACTTGAGAGGTTGAGGCAAGAGAATCATTTGAGCCCAAGAGTTTGAGGTTGCTGTGAGGTATGATGCCGCAGCCCTCTACTGAGGGTGACAAAGTGATACTCTGGGCTCGGCGCCTATGGCTCAAGCGGCTAAGGCGACAGCCACATACACCTAAGGTGGAGGGTTCGAATCCAGCCCGGACCCACCAAACAACAATAATGGCTGCAACCAAAAATAGCCGGGTGTTGTGGCGGGCGCCTGTGGTCCCTGCTACTTGGGAGGCTGAGGCAGGAGACTCGCTTGAGCCTAGGAGTTGGAGGTTGCTGTGAGCAGTGAAGCCATGGCACTCTACCCAGGGTGACAGCTTGAGGCTCTGTCTCAAAAAAATAAATAAAGTGATACTCTGTCTCAAAAACAAAAACAAAACTATTTTACCCAGACATTTTAGTTATTTTTGGTGAGAAGTCGATCTTCCTTCCTATCTCGTAATGTTTGTGGAAATGGAAGTCTTGGATGATGGTTTTGAATGGGGAAAGAGAGGGTCAGATTTGCACATTGGAGAGATCAGTTCTAGCTATTGGGGTTTTTGTTTGTTTGTTTGAGACAGAATGTTACTCTGTCCTCCTAGGTAGAGTGCCATGACATTGTAGCTCACAGCAACCTGTAATTCCTGGGCTCAAGAAATCCTTCTTGCCTAAGCTTCCTAAGTAGCTGGGACTACAGGCACACGCCACCACGCCTGGCTAGTTTTTCTATTTTGCTAGACAGGGTCTTGCTCTTTCTCAGATTGCTTGAACTCATGACCCTCGTCCTCCCAGAGTGCTAGGATTACAGGTGTGAGCCACCGTGCGTGGCCTGGTTTGTTTTTCCTATTCAGTGATATTTGAAGTCCTACAATGTACTCTGTATTAGGCCCCGGGGATCCAGCCCCTGTCGTGTTACTTGCCTTTTTGGGGTTTCTGTTCTAGTCAGTGAATCAGACTATACATCTATAAATGAATGAGACAATAATTACAATCCAGAAGTACTGCTAAGAAAGATGTTACAGACTCTGAGAACCTGCTTGGATAAGGTGTGGGGAGAAGCCAGCCATTATGGTGGGAAATAGGCTTGGGAGGGAGGACTGAAGGCAGGAAGCCTAATCAGGAGGCTGCCATGATTTTCTGGACAGGAATGAGGAAAGAAGAGTGGTGAGAAACTGTTAGGACTTGGGGATCGGCTGTTGGAGAAGAAGAGTGCCACCAGCTTGGGCAGGTGGCTGATGTGGTGGGCATCTTGTGGGGACTCTGGAAAGGATTAGGCAGGGGCAGAGAGACAGGTGAAAAAGTCAGGGACATCGTCCTGAAGGCATGTGTGAACTAAGCCAGACACAAAACGACAAGACGATATGAGTCCACTCACATGATGTACCCGGAGTAGTCAGATTCACAGGAACAGAAGGAAGAATAGTGGTAACCGGGGCTGGGGTGGGGAGGGGGAATGGGGAGCTAGTGCTTCAGTTTTGCAAGATGAAGAGTTCTAGAGGTGGGTGGTAGTGATGCATGCAAATGTGAATGTATTTAACGCCACTGAACTGTATGTTACAAAATGGTTCATGTGGCAGCGCCTGTGGCTTAAGTGGCTAAGGTGCCAGCCACATACACCTAAGGCGGTGGGTTCAAATCCAGCCCGGGCCCACCAAACAACAATGATGGCTGCAACCAGATTTTGCAACCAAAAAAAAATAGCCAAGTGTTGTGGCTGGCGCCTGTGGTCCCAGCTACTTGGGAGGCGGAGGCAGGAGACTTGCTTGAGCCCAGGAGTTGGAGGTTTTTGTGAGTTGTGATGTCATGGAACAGCTTGAGGCTCTATCTCAAAAAAAAAAGGTTCATGTGGTAAATTTTATGCTATATGAATTTTACCACAATTTATTTATTTATTGAGACAGAGTCTCACTTTGTTGACCTGGGTAGAGTGCCATGGCATCACACCTCACAGCAACCTCAAACTCTTGGGCTTAAGCAATTCTCTTGCCTCAACCTCTGCCTATTTTTAAGAAGTGAGGTCTCGCTCTGGCTCAGGCTGGTCTCAAACCTGTGAACTCAGGCAATCCACTCACCTTGGCCTCCCAGCAGGCTAGGATTACAGGCGTAAGCCACTGTGCCCAGCCATTACCATGATTTTTTAAAAAAAGAAGTCAGGGTTCCGTGCCTGTAGCTCAGCAGCTACAGCGCCAGCCACATACACATGAGCTGGCGGGTTTGTATCTAGCCCGGGCCTGGCAAACAACAAGGACAACTACAACAAAAAAGTCGCTGGGCATTTAGTAGGTGCCTGTAGTCCCACCTGCTTGGGAGGCTGAGGCAAAAGAGTCGCTTAAGCCCAAGAGTTTGAGGTTGCTGTGAGCTGTGATGCCACAGCAGTCTACCCAGGGCAACAGCTTGAGACTCTGTCTCAAAAGAAAAGAAAAAGAAAAAATAAATCAGGTTGGACTTTGAGTCTGAGGTGAATTTTGGGGGTGTTTAGAGGGAGATTTCTAGGAGGCAGGTGGGCCACATGGATCTGGGTTTGAGGAGTGGTCAGGGTGGGAATGGATATTTGGTCCATTCATCCAGTCCAAGCTGCGGCAGTGGTGGTCTTAGCTCCACATCCGCCTCTGTGACCTGGTTCTCCACCCACAGCCTCAGCCACCCCTGCCTGATGTGTTGGTCTGGATGCTCAGTGGGCGGCGCCGCGTGGCCTGGGCCCGGATCCCTGCCCAGGATGTACTGTTCTCTTTGGTTGAGGAGGAGCGGGGCCGAGACTGTGGGAGGATCCAGACTCTGCTGCTTACAGTAAGAGGGCCCGGAGTCAGGGTGCTGGGAGAACGGGGTATGGCTCGTAGGGCAGGGTGGCACTGGGGTGGAAGCCTGGGGTTCCCAACCAAGGGTTCTGCAAACTCTCTTCAATTATTCAAAAAGCCCAAAGGAGATTATACTTTTGCCTGGGTGAGCTTGAAATGAGATAAACCCCAAAGCTTGTTAGCCATAGACTTATGCTGGTCCTTTTGTTAACTAGCTGTTGACATAATGGGCCCTTATCAGCATGGCTGGTTTGCAGGCAACATATTTCTAAATGAGGCATCCCTGGAAAAGATACCCAAAGGGGTCCCTGGTGGGGATAAGCTGTGATCCTTGGGCAGAGGACAGGGAATGTATATGATGAGGTGAAGGAGATAAACTGGAGTTCAGGGTGGCGCCTGTGGCTCAGTGGGTAGGGCGCTGGCCCCATATACCGAGGGTGGTGGGTTCAAACCCGGCCCCGGCCAAACTGTGACAAAAAATAGCTGGGCATTGTGGCGGGCACCTATAGTCCCAGCCACTTGGGAGGCTGAGGCAAGAGAATCACCTGAGCCCAGGAGTTGGAGGTTGCTGTGAGCTGTAATGCCACAGCACTCTACTGAGGGCAACAAAGTGAAACTCTGTCTCAAAACAAAACAAAACAAAAAACAAACTCGGAGTTTAGAGTTCAGGGTCCAGTTTGGCAATGCAGGGTGTGAGGGGCAGGAGGGTTGTGAGGCACAGGATGGTGGGCAGGAAGAGGGTGCAAGGATGGGCACATAGGGAGTGTTCTCTGTGGTCAGGGAGTCATGTGGATGGGTGTGTGCCTTGGGGGAGCTAGGATTTAGGATTTGGGGCCTAGCTGGAGTTGTGGGGTCTTACATGCTTCCCTGTCACACAGGCGCCCGGGGCAGCCCCTGGAGAGATCTGTGCCAAGCTGGAGCTCTTCCTGTGGCTGGGGCTGGGCAAGCAAGCCAAGGCCTGCACCTTTGAGCTGCCCCCAGACCTGCTGCCTGAGCCCTCGGCTGGGCTGCCCCACTGCCTGTGCCGGGATGGTGAGTGCAGGGTGGGCAGGATGGGCATAGGGCCCGCCTTGCTATTTGACCGAGATGTGGGGCTACTGAGTCATCTCTGAGAAAACACCTTCCTTCCCCTTCACCCCAGGCTTTAGATACTTTCAGCTCTGGGCTCACTTGTACTAGGCCCGAGGTGTGTTGGCAGCAGATGACAGTGGCCTCTCGGATCCCTTCGCTCGAGTCCTTATCTCTACCCAGTGCCAGACCACACAGGTGAGGGCTGGGATGGGAGGTGGAGGAGGGGGCCTGGGAGACAAGGTGGAGTGGGGCTGAGATTTTCCTCAAGGCCCTAAGACTTTCTTCTTACTCTAGGTTTTCAGGACAAGATATTGGACAGGATATTCTTGTCTCAGGGGTGGTGTAGGACCAGAGAGAGGTCTTCGGGGTGAGGGGTTCTTTCTGGGCTTGACTCCAGGCCTGGGCTCTAAAGGCAGTAGATTCCAACAGGGAGAGCCGGGCAGGAGAAGGGGGCTCTAGCACCACCTGAAAGTGCTTTCAGCTTCGTCACAGCTTGCTCCTTCTGTGGCGAGTGTTACCGCAGGTGTCCTTTAGAGCAGGGTGCTCACCTAACATGTGCCTTGGGAGCCTCCTTCTGACAGCTACTGGTGGGTGCTCTCTTCCCTGCATGGCCTCCAAGGTCCTGGAGCAGACGCTGAGCCCTCTGTGGAATGAACTCCTGGTATTTGACCAGCTGATTATAGACGGCAGGAGGGAGGACCTGCAGGAGGAGCCGCCCTTAGTGGTCATCAACGTTTTTGACCACAACAAGCTCGTGAGTGTAGCCGGGGCCCCAGCTGGGATCCCAGCTTCGTGTGTCCTTTGCCCTCATTTCCCTGCCCGACCTGGCTCCTGAGCCTCCCCCTTTTGTCTTCATTGCCTTGCTTCCCACAGAGCCCCCCTGTATTCCTGGGCAGGGCGCTGGCCGCTCCAAGGGTAAAGCTGGTGGAGGACCCATACCAGCGCCCCGAGCTGCAATTCTTCCCCCTGAGGAAGGGACCACGGGCAGCTGGAGAGCTTATTGCCACCTTTGAACTCATTGAATTGGATTACAGTGGCCGATTTGAGGTCAGAATACCCTGGCTTGAATGGCACTGGCTGTGGGTCCATCTTCTTCTATCAGGCCCTCCAGCCCCAAGGAATAGAAAACGTGTAGGTTCTAGGGATATCCCCCCAGGTCCCGATCCTCAAAGAATGAAGGATATAGGTATGTCCTGGGGTCACCTCCTTGGAAGTGGTACTGGCCCTAGGTACTATTCTGGGAGCTGGGAGGCCTTGGCCGTGTGCACCTGTTTGAGGTAGAACAGCCCCAGGATGTGCAGGAGGTGGCCGGGTGATGCATGGAGTCTGAGGTCCTGCCCAGGACCTCCTGACCCCAAGGAGCATTACAGGTATGCGTGCCCAGGGTTCCCCTTGCCAGACTTCCAACCACAGAGAACCTGGAGTGGGGCACCACCCCATCCCACATGCCTCACATACCCCCTCCCTTCCTGCACCGACGTGCTTCTTGAGACGCCTTACAATCCAGCCTTGCCTGCTTCTTCTGTGTCTGCATTATACTCCACCAGTTGCACTCTGTGTCCCTGCTGCACACTCAGGCTGTCCCTCCTTTGGTCTGGTTTCTCTTAGACTTCTTTCCCGTGCAGCCCTCAGTGCCCAGTGATGTGGAGCCCCAGGATCTGGCGCCCCTCGTGGAGCCCCTCTCTGGACGCCTGTCCCTGCCACCCAACGTGCGCCCAGTACTCAGGGAGTTCCGGGTTGAGGTAGCACCAGGCATCCCTAGCCTCCCATTCCCCCACATTGTGGTGCCCCTCTGCCAGGTACAGGCCCCTGAATCGCCTACCTCCTGGCCCTAGGTACTGTTCTGGGGTCTAAGGGGCCTTGGCCGTGTGCACCTCTTTGAGGTAGAGCAGCCCCAGGTTGTGCTGGAGGTAGCTGGGCAACGTGTGGAGTCTGAGGTCCTGGCCAGTTACCGTGAGAACCCCAATTTCACAGAGCTCGTCAAGCATCTAACCGTGGTGAGTGTGTGGGCTGGGGCCAGGGAATGTGGGGCAGAGAGGTCAGAGGGCACCAGATGGTGGGTGTCCAGCTGGTTATTTTAAATGTTCCAAGGGTCAGGGAACTCTCTAAAACGGTCAGATGGTAAATATTTTAGGCTTTGTGTGCTAGCCAGTCTCACTTGCAGCTACTCAACTCTACCACTGTACTGTGAAAACAGCCATAGACAATACATAAATGAAAGAGTATGAGTGTGTTCCAATAAAACTTTATTCATAAAAACTGGCAGTGGGTCAGACTTGGCCTATAGGCTGTAGTGTGCTAATTTCCAGCTTTATTTATGGACTTGTGTTGCCTTTACTGGCTCTGCTGAATGAGTAGATTATCCAAGTGGCCTGAAGGATAAGTCTCAAAGAATCTATCCAATCTCTGAGATACCAGGACCCAACATGAGAAAGAAATTCTTTGCCTAATTTGTAATTACTATTGTATGGGCTTCAGAGTAAATTTCTGGCGATGCCACTTAGGATCTTGTCAAATAACTTATCTTTTTTAAGCTTTAGTTTTTCTTTGTGTAAAATGGGGTAACAAGTACCCCTAGAAAGATTGGAAAGACAAACAGCAGGTGCCTCCTTGCAGGAGTGCTATGAGGAGCTACGGACAGAGAGCATTTTGGTGAAAGGGCAGCTTTGTAAACTGTGAGGGTGTGAATGGGACAAAGCACAGTGGTTCCAGACAGCAAGTGGGCAAAAAACAAAAAGAAACCCACCAATATTTCCTGACTCTGTTTCCCAAGTAAGAGTTTCCAGTTTTAAAACAACATCATGCTGGCTCAGTGCCCATAGCTCAGTGGTTAGGGTGCCAGCCACATGCACTGGGGCTGGTGGGTTCCAATGTGGCCAGGGCCTGCTAAACAACAATGATGACAAAAACAACAACAACAAAATAGTCAGGTGTTGTGGTGGGTGCCTGTAGTCCCAGCTACTTGGGTGGCTGAGGCAAGAGAATTGCTTAAGCCCAAGAGTTTGAGGTTGCTGTGAGCTGTGATGCCACAGCACTCTACTGAGGGCGACATAGTGAGACTCTGTCTCAAAAACAAAACAAAACAAACAAATGAACAAAAAAAGTACATGGTGGTATAAAATAGTGAAAGTGAGGGCACCTTGCTCATTGAGCTTCCAGGGTATGTGTCTTAGTCTGTTCCAGCTGCTGTAATAAAATAGCTTACATGACCAGCGTGGGCAACATAGTGAGACACTGTATCTAAAACAACTTTTTTTAATTAGCCAGACATGGTAGCATGTACCTGTAGTCCCAGCTACTCAGGTGGCTGAGCCTGAGGCTGCCGTGAGCTATGATTTCAACCTGGGTGACAGAGCAAGCCCCACATCTCTAAAAATGAAAACAAAAAGTCAAACAAAGTATTGGGTAATTGGTAAACAACACAAATTTAGGCTGGGAAGTCTTTTTTTTTTTTTTTTT